GAAAAAAATCTATCAAAAATTTTGTTTGAAGATTTGGATGCAGAATGATAGAGAATCTTTCTACAAATCTTTAAAGGTATCCCGCTTAAGGATCGGATGAAAAATGGAAAAGATATGGATAGGGTTATGGGCCATATAAGGAAATTGTCGTTTTTGGAAGGCACCTCACCGCGAAAAATATGAAAAAAATCTATCAAGAATTTTGTTTGGAGATTTGGATGCGGAATGATAAAGAATCGTTCTACAAATCTTTTAAGGTATCCCGCTTAAGGGTCGGATGAAAAATGGAAAAGATATGGACAGGGTTTTGGACCATATAAAGAATTTTTCGTTTTTCAAAGGCACCTTACCAGGAAAAATATGAAAAAAATCGATCTAAAATTTTGTTTGAAGATTTGGATGCAGAAAGATAGAGAATCGTTTTACAAATCTTTTAAGGTATTCCGCTTAAGAATCGGATAAAAAATGAATATGATATGGATAGGGTTATGGGCCATATAAGGAAATTTTCGTTTTTCAATGGCCCCTCACCAGGAAAAATATGAAAAAAATCGGTAAAAAATTTTGTTTGGAGATTTGGGTGCAGAATTATAGAGAATCGTTTTACAAATCTTTTGAGGTATCCCCCGTAAGGATCGTATAAGAATTGTTAAAGATATGGGTATGGTTTGGGGCCACTTGCTTGAATATACTGAGACTTTATAGAAAAAAATTGGGAAACAAACTTTCTTTTGGTACATTTCTTTAAGTGTAGCCATGAGCATGAACAACATGTGCTGGAGTCGTTGTCTTCTAAAGTCCAACTTGCAGCTGAAGAAAGCATGGAAATTATTTCAGATATGTGAAAATGGGGCACGAGTTCTGAGCTCTAGAGATGATTGCTCTCATCTTTCAATGGGGTTAATTTTTGAGTGCTGCAGACAGGGGATTATTAATGGATATGTCATGTTCATACATAAATATGTATTCATATGTACATACATAAGTAATAATCGACCAACTTGTATAGATATTTAACTTTACAATTTTAAGAGCTCCATCTTTTTATAAAAATTAAAACAAATAATGGCTTAAATATAAGCAAGCTCACCAATTAAAATTCCGGGTTCCATATTCCTTGAATATTGATCGGTTCGCCTAATCCAAGTGGCGAGTTCGTTTCGTTTCGATAAAAGTTAAAATCGATCGGCTGGCATACAAAATATGCTGTATGCTTTTTCAAGGTCGTGTCGAATTGAGTAAAATAGAAGTCACGTCGGATCACATGGAGCACTACCATGTAGCGAATTTGCCACGATTTAATGGATATATTTCTTAGAACCAAACCGATATCGCTACATGCCACTTCACCAACTCTTTCGCACCTTTTTTATTTATAATTTTGTTTACCGCCTCGTTTCGTAATGATTCGCGTTAATTGCTGAAAGCGAAGGTGCGCCAAGAAATTCTAAATTAAATAAAAATTCGGTTGACACCTGCAATTTGTATTCACAGTCTTATTTTGTTTCAGTTTTGTTTATTTATTTATTTTCGCTTCGTGCCGAGTTTCCCACCAAAAAAACTTTGCGCATGCGCAGAGACGAAAACAAACAAAGGAAAGCTGGTGGCCGGAGCGAGACGGAGAGTGGGGCAAGCAGGCAGTCACGAAACTACCGTTAGCTGCAGCATTTTCGTCTTGGTCTTAATGAGTTTTCTTGTTTGTTTGCCTGCCATTTGTAAGTTTAACAAGCTGCGTTGTTTACTTATTTCGATTGTTTTTATTTTTCCCCTCCCCCCAACCCCTTTGCTTTATCAATTTCCTTGGCGATACCACGAATCCCACAGGTGGCGCTCTCTCTCTATCTCTCTATTTGGGAGCCTCTCCAATTAGAAAACAAACACCGGTTGGGGCCGGAACGTTGGCAGAGCCGGAACAGGCGGCATGAAAAGCGAAAACCAGAAATGGAACGTGTGGCATGCGGAACAGACAACAGTTTTTGACGCTGGCGTCGCAGCCGGCGCCGCTGCCAACGTCGTGGGTAATTTGTGAGTCAAAGAATCTCTATATGTGTGTGTCCGTCAAGAAAAAAAAAATAAAAGAGTTAAAACCCTCAAAAAACGAACAATAAATAAAGCGAAAACATAAACTTTGGCAGTCTACGGGTTCGGTTTATGTATTTCTTCACACTTGTTGCAAAAATTCCACCGAATTCTTATTCAATTTCAGTTTAAACAACTTGTTGCACACACACACACGCACACGCGCACCTTCTACACCTTGAACTTCAGCTATTTTCTCAGCTTTTTTCTATTTAACTTCCAATTCGATTCTGATTAGATTATTGTATTCACAGATCTCACTTGCTTATGTGTATGGTTGTTTAACTTTTAGTGCACCTTTTGCTATTATTAAGCTTCTTTAATTTTTTCTTGGCTGAAACGCAGCCTTCCGTTTTGTTCAGTCGCGGCCGCTCTCGCGAGCACTTCAACTTCGACTTGTTGGGGTTTTGGTTTTCGTGCTACCACGATCCCAGTTTCCGATGGGGAGAGGCCAGCTCTCGCGAACGGCTGGAATCTTATTGGAACGGGCCGGGGCTGCTAAAAATTCTCAAGCGCGCCTCATTTGGCCCGATTCCGTTTGGGGCGCAGAGAGAGCGGGAGCGCGATCATTGGAATTCAATTGAAATCGAATCGGAATTACAGTAAAGACTCTATTACACGCACACACATAGCACACATAAAGAAAGTATTTGATTTCCGGCGGAAACGGAAGCGCCGGAAGCGCCATATTCTTAAATATTTATGAATATATATGTACGTAGGTCTTGCATATTTTTTGAATCTGCACTTTACTTTCTTTGTTCTCACATAAGGTTCTTTGGAATTTCTTATTATTTTTATAATAAAAATTGCTAAATTATTTTTCGTAAGAAAGTTTCTCTTATAAAATTTCCTCCCACGAAACTGCAGCCTTACCCAGTTTTTATTTTTTAAACTTTTTTATTTTAGGCTAAGTACATACATACATACATACATCGTACGTATGTATGTACATATGCAAAATTATGGCCCGCAGTGGCATTTTATCAGAAGTGTCATATCAAGCAATGTTCGCCTTTCAAAGCCCACAACAAACACTAGATAAGCGAGGCATACCTTTGTCTGGGCAAAGAAACCAAAAGAAAACTCACCCATCGTCTTTACTCGGAATTCTTCATAGTCCATCAGCGGAGGAGTTTCAGCTCCTCGGACCGTATCCAGAAAATCGTCCTCACTATACACCGAATCATAATCACTGGGATCATGCATTATTTATGTTTTCTATGAAAAATTATGTCACTGACACTGTTGCACTTAACACTGTTGCATACTCTTAGGCAGAATGCTAAAATATCCTAAGGGATTAATTGATTTTATTTAAATTTCCCTTAGGTCATAGGGATTTTGTTGCACTTTTTGCACCAGCCATATTTGAATTTACGGGAAATACCAAAAAGAACTCAATGTCCGTTAAGGAATGTAGTAGGATCGATAGCGCAGAGAACCGGCAACCGCATGCGCTTCCAATTTAAACACGACTAAGGTGAGACAAGCGATTTGGTTGCCTTCTGAGCTAATCAAAAACAAATACTACGAAGGCTATCAAAAACAACAAACAAATCTACAGGCTGATTAGAATATAAAGTAGTTGAACAAGTAGAAAGTTTCAAATAGATTCTACAAACCAATTGATACTCCTTAAAAAAGAGGCCTCCATGGGTTTGTTGGAGAAAGGTTATCATTTTTAATAATAGAGAATACTCTATACAGAATGTATATACAGATATATTTTGTATTTTTGTATAGATAAAATAATCATAAATCCAATAGTCAGGGACTAGTGACAATCTCTAATTTCAAGGAAATATTACATTGAGATATTCTAAGTTTCTAAAATACTACACTAAAATAAGGCATAGAGTACTAATACCTAATTTTTAGGACCTAATTTTTGTTTCTATACGAAAACTTGTAACATTCTCATATACCCATTTGAAGTTGGAGAATACTAGGTATAAAAACATACACTTTTATTTGCCCTGAGAACGCGTGCTATCTCCGCTCTACCTTTCTCTCTTTCAGGGAAAGTAATTAGGGGAAGTGCGAGCAAGACAGACCCATATATCTTATCAAAAGTGAAAAATTTGGACTGATATAGTTTACTACTCTAGGCCTCAAGGAATTCCTCCCATTAATTAACGAGTTAGAGTGCAGCACAAATTACGAGATTTGAATGTAATAACATTATTAATAAATTATTATTCCAACACCCTCCCAATAAAAACACTTAGGTTCTTTTGTTTTTAAAACGGCACACCAAAGAAATAGCATCATTGGAATGTTAAAAATTTTATTTAAGTTATTTTCCGCATTTTTTGTTATGGGAATTGCGTTTTAAAATTTAATCCATTTACACATAGATTTTTGTTCGTAATTGTAGTGTATTTTCCATCAAAAACTCGAAATGTGTTTCGTCTGCATGTAATTCAAACTTTAAATGTATATTTCGTACTGCATTTTATTCTATATAGCATTTTTTTGTTTGATTTTTGAAGAGTAATTTGTCTCTTGTTTGCTTGAATATTTTTGTTCACTACGTTTTCAGTAACTTATGCGTTCGTTTATCTGTTTCATTTAAATATATTTCAACTATTTCTTGAGAAGGTTGTATTTGGTGGTTTTGATATTCACTAGTAACTTTGTGCAACATAAGGTTAAAAAAACAATTTTTTAATAATAATTAAAGAACGAATTTCATTAAAAAGCTTTTTTGGATTTAACAATATGAACTTTCAACATTGCACAATTGTTTCGACGTTTTAAAGGTTCAATGGGTCAGTTTTGGTATTAAAACCCCGAAACAAGTTTCAATATAATAAACTACACGAAAAGTTATAATTGAGAAACAAAAAAACATAGGATTAACAATTAACGGATATAACATTTCACAAATGTCCTTTGGTGTGTTCAATCATAAATGTTTTTTTATATAATTCTCTTAACTTTAATAGAGGTGTTTTTGCTTTGATTTAAAATTTTCTTTTTGCTCTTCATATTTGATATGTTTTTGTTAATTGATATGTTGCATATATTTAGTGTTAAATAGGTTCTTGTGTGTTTTTAACTTTTTGCAGTTGTACTTCCTCTATAGGGATCTGCTGATATGTATGCGATATATTTTTTGGGGCTTACTCTTAAAAATGTTTCACGCTTGTATATAGTTTTTTGTATATTAAAGTTTAAAAAAATATTTATAAAGAAAAAACGTTTGTTTTAGGTAAAATTTTCGTCAGCTTTAAATTATTTAAAATTTACAGGCGAATAACTTCTAATGGAACCCAAAGTAACAAATTATCACTTGTTTTTTGGTTTTCCCTCATATTTTTTTTAACCATATTCATTTGCATCGATTATGGAATTCGTAGTTTGTCTCCTCTTTATTTACATGGGGCATTTACTCACATCGTTTCATCATATACAGTGTATATATATATATAGTTCAATGGATCAGTTTTTGTTCGTTATCATTCATTTATATTACTCTTGACTTGTTACTATTTTTCGAATAAATATTTACTCATAAATATACTTTAAATAGACGACTATATAGTTAAAAAGATCTTGTTCGTATCAATTTTTTTTGTTGCTCTTTTCGCATTTTCAATAAATATTTGTAGTATTTTTTGCTGTAGTTGTATGATCTATCAGCTAATTCAAGGTACTTATAACTCCATTAATTTTTCGTTTTAATTTAAAGAAATTTCCTTCAACGTTGGGTCTTCTTACTCATTTTAGTTACTTGTTATACTTTCTGGTCAACAATTCCGTGCTCCGTTTGAAAAACGTTTGAATTAGAGGCTACATACTAAGATTAACACGTTTGTGAGCTTTAAGAGTCAATTTTAGAGTTTGCTTAGATGGTTTTCCAAATTGTTTGGGTCAGTTTTTTTGTTCTTGGCATTTAAAATTGGCTCTTAAGACTTGAGAATCTCATTTTGGTTACAACTTGCTTTTGTGTGTTTTTTTCTTTCTAAGAAGTATATTTTAGGAATTGAATAAAGTTTTGTGCAATATTGTTAAATTAACATTAGCTTTTATAGTAATTTTCGTTTAATATATAATTTGAGATCCCTTTGAATGATCAACGTTTATATTTTTCCTTAGACACAGAAAACTGTTTTGTGAATTATGCAACTCAAGACCATTACCTGTTGCACAGTAGCTCGACATAGTTGGGGTTGTTTCTATGATATGTATAGTTTTTAAATCTTTTCTTAATATTCCTCATTTTATTTCGAACAGTGGACTGTATGTTCTACTGGAAACAACAATAGCTGCAGGGCTTTCGCTACAATTAATCACTAAAACTAAGGATATACCCTATACATTTGTATATAATTTAATTAATAGACGGTTATCGAAAGAGGATAAGTGTACTTGGGAAAGTACTGAAGAAAGTGGTTGGAAGGTTCTGTACTGATAGCCTCGGTTTCGGATTTGCATAAATTGTTTTTTTTTTTTTTGTAGGGACTTTAGTGTGAATACCATAAGTGACGGTTTTAAAAAGCCTTGAAACACTTTACATACACATTAATAAAAAGGATTCAATACATATCGGTACACATATATATGTTTCAGAAAAGGTTTTATATAAACATTAATACAATTTGCTTTTAAAATTTACGTTTACTTTTAGCTTTTTCCGTTTTGTATTTTGCCAAACGATCCTGCTTCCACATTTTATTTGACTATTTCTTATGAAGTTTGGTTTGCAATGTTCTGAAATTTGCGCATTGATTTTCTCAAAATAAATATAGATCGCGATAGAGACGCAACACATAAATATAGGAATGTTGAAAAAGAGCGCAGAAAGTTGGGAGAAAGCTAAGATTTGATTTCGTAGAAAGCAGCCGATATATAATAGATCGAAAAATCGGATTTTTTTGCTTTATATTTTCTCTGTTCGCATTGTGTATATATTTTTTTTTCATTTTTTAATCATATTTTGCCATTTTTTTTATTTTTTGATTGGTTTTATACTTGTTTTATATAAAAGTGTTGGGAAAAAGAAAAGTAATTATAACTGAAATCGTCAAAAGGGTTTCGAAAGCAACAGATTAAATTATAACCAAAAATAGAGTTTGAGAAAATATCTTTTTGGCGGAAATGAATGGGCACTTGTATGGGTGGTTGTGTTAAGGGACGATGAGTGTAGGTACGTGTGGGAGGTTGGGTGTGTAATTCGCATTTAATAATTGTAATTATCATAGGGCGTACCCAAATACGAATAGAAATTAGGATTGATGGGTTGTGCGTGTGCGTAATAAAATCCAGAAGCCGGATCTGGCGCTACTCAGTCGAGGAAGCCGGTGTTGACCAGTTTCTCCAAGAAAAACTTCACGTCGCCCAGCTCCGAGTCCTTGATGCCCAAGGACTTCAGCATGCCAAGGTCACCGTTCTCCACTGCCATGAAAACCGAGCGCAAATGTTCCAAGTCCGATCTGGAAAAGTTCAACAAGGAAATGGGTTAATTTTCAGCTTGTTTCTGATTAATGGTAAAACTTAAATAAAGTTTTGCGGGAAAATGACTTAAGTCGGAAAAGCAGCAGCCACCCAAAGTCTCGGGATGGTATTTAGCGTGAAATAGTTCTTGAGCGAAACAGACTATCATGTATACCTTGGTACAAATGCTTTTAATCCAAGATAATACTAAACTAATTTAATGAAATTTCATAAAAAATAAAAAAATGTTCCACCCAAATGCTAGGCATTTTTCCGGACGTAAGTCCTCCAATACAAATTCTGTGGAAATGTCCTACCCTATGACCTTTTAACTGATATTTCAATAAACATCAGCCCACAGTGAACTTAACAAGCCAAAGCTCCGCCAACCTCGGCCACCCCCAGACAAGCCACATGAGAAGCAGGAGGGACAAGTTTAAGCTTTGCTGCGGTGAGTCTCAAATTATACGCTTTGCTTAATTAATCCCCGCAGGTAACGTGGTGCTCTTGTTCGTCTTGTTATTGTTATTGCGGTAGCTATCCTGTGGTGTCCTTTAACCCCCAACAGTCGAACCTCGCTCTTTTCTATATCCACATATTTTTCTGCTTGTTGCGGCTGCTAGATAAACTTCATCATCATCTAAATAATTAGCAAAGTAAGTGGGTGAAAGTAAATGAGGAACACAAGACTTCAACTTTAAGCTAACTAGGAAATATATTTTACATAACATTTATTAGAAAAAAATAATAAAAAATATAGAGCTTTGTAAATAAACTCTATAATAATTTCTTATAAATAGTATTCCTTCTTTTTTCTCTCGGTGTAAGAAGTTGAGGAACCAGGAGTGCAAAATACGCATTAATAACATTTGTGCGTGTCTTGTGGTTCGAGTACATCCATTCCATCCCCAACCCACTCGAACCTCCCCATGGCGCTAGTTGAGACTCTAGCAGGGTAGAATGACATTATGACACTTGGGCGATTAATTGCCTTGATGAAATTGTGTAAAATTCCGCCAGGGATATGGAGGGCACTGCCGAGCATAGCCAGACAGGCAGGACCCTTCTTATATCCCCACCACCTTAACATCAGGCTGGTTTTTTGTGTTTTGCTAATTTATCAACATGTGCGTGAAGGCAAATATTTTCATGTCCTTTTGTCTGGCCCATAGGTCGAGATCCTGAGCCTCCTAGGCACACCATTTTATGATTATTATTATTGCCACTCCAGCTCACCTTGCATCCCCGTTTTTGTGGTTAGTTTTTGTTGTGCTAATTTAATGAAAATTTTCCTTTCATGTTCCTCTTCCCAGCCAACATGTTGATTTCGGCGCAATGCCGTCGTTTGTGCTCAGTTGGCTTGTTTTTATTTTGGTTAATTAAATTTTTGCTTTTGTTTATCTTTGAAATTAAAGCAAGGGAAACAGGGAGGATCTATTTAAAAAAAAAATTACACGAAAGATGGTAATCAACTTGGGAAACAGAAGAGATTCGCTTGGTATGTTGCTGAATTTAAAATTTTTAATATAAAAAATATAATTCAAAAAGTATGTAGGAATCCTTTTAGCTAACATTTATTTATGCTTAAATTTTAAGTCCTATGAATATTGTTCAAAAAGAACCCACATTCATTCTTTGTAACCTTAATTTATAATTGAATTCATTAGGCAGAAGCACATATTTTGTTAGCATAGGACAGACCAAGCAAATATTATGGCAAACCCAAAAACCCCACAAAGAGGCTCTTAATATGAATAAAGCCGAATGAGAGGAGAAATATGAAAAATATGTATGAAATATTTTAAAATTTCATGACACTTTTTGTGCTTTTCGGTGGCTGGCTTGCCTTGAACCGGACAAATTTTATTGTTCCCACTGCCACAAAAATAGCTGAGCAGAGTAAAAAGGACTCGAGGCACTCTGACACACAAATACTCACACACACTTGCGCAGAGATAATTCATGGGACAAGGACAAGGACACGGACACAGCAGCTACTGTGTAGGGAAAAGGACGCTAGCCTCTGGACTTTTCGTATATAGAAGATAGTTTCAACGGAAAGAAAGGGTTCTCTCCACAACAATGTGAAAATAGCCAAAGGGCAATGGTAAAGTTTCTTAAAGCGATTTCATTATTTATGTAACACAAAGGAGCTAAGATCCGGCTTAAAATTATTTTTCATGCACGAAAAGTAAACGACAAAAAGGACACTCATATTTGCTTAAGGGTTTATGGCTGGAAAGGACATTCATGATTTTAAAAAACAGAAGGATATAGGAGATATGCGAGGCCCAGTAGCTATAGTTTCCCCTTTATATTTCCGCACAGTGTAGAGGCCCACTCAAAGCGAATAATGCTGATGGTAGTTCTCTAGTGCTCACCTCATTAGATGAAGGGCAGCGCCAAAGTCCTCAATGGTTTGTGACTCGCTCAAGGCAATGGCCACCTTCTCCACACCGCCCAAAGGTGAAAGGGCATCGCGGGCCTTGCTGCCGAAAAGTTTTTCCAGGTAATTGGGTCCGTGGGAGGCGATCAGGCTCTGGAGGAAGGATGCGGTCTCCTCCACCGGCGGACGTTTGGCTGCAATTAATAAAATAGACAGGTCATCATCATTTTTATTGCATGTCGTTAAAATAAATTTCGAGAGAAGGGGAAAGGAGATATGCCACCTGAAATGGTAATTAATAAACTTTCGGATGCCTTGATTATCATCAGCTTAATGCATTTGCATTCATAATTTATTCCAATTTAAATTGATTTTATTAATTAAGCCAACAAACAAGCCATTCGAAATCAATAATCCGGCTGCTGATTAATAAATGAGCAATACATTTTTACTTATAAGTCATTAAAAATGAATTGAGAACATATAATAAAAAAAAAGTTCAGGAAGCAGCCGACAATTTCCTAGACATTAATATTAATAGGGAACTTTAGTTGTATATTACTTTGGGAGGAGTAGAGAGTTGCACCCCACAAATTCAACTTGCAACACGTGCGTGCATATTAAATTATGCCTCATCTCGAATGAATTATATAATGGGGTTACACCGAGGAGCGGTATGTCCTGCGAGACTTCATTATTTCGGACAATGTGAAAACATTTTAAATATTTAAACGACAATAAAAAATCGTAAATCGTAAACTACGAAAACAACAACTGAAAAATTTAATTGTTTGGCAGATTGGGGACTTAAATTTTCAACAAAGCTAAAAAATCTTTGAATTCCTTAAAGCTCTTTTTTGTGCACAAGTAAAATTTATATGAATGGTAAGGTACTTCAATTTTAGCAAAATACCTGAGGAGAAAAAGATATATACGTATATTTCTCATTTCGCTTTCATGCTTTTGTTGAATACGCTTTTCTTTATTTATTCAAATTTCCTTACCCTTTGCTATTTCCCGGAGAGTTTATTTTTGTTTTTCTTGGTCCCACCAAACATTTATGGGTCACTCTGTCAGGTAGTCAGTCAGTAAGTCAGTGAGTCAGACTCTGAGTCCTCTGAAACCAGTCATGCACAAAGGGCAGACTTTACGGTGCTTGGCGTCGCTTTTTTAACCCACTGACTGCACTTGTTAACCCCTGGGTGCACCACGTCCCTCCGCACATATGCTGGCATTTTTAATGGCTGCAAGGACACGTATCTAAATGGGTCTGTTTCAATGTGTGAGTGGGTGAGCAGGTCATACATATATGTTGATTCAGTTACTGACTGTATTTGTTATGCAAATGCCGGCGTTTGCAAACCCTTTTTCTTCCCAGATCCTTCCTATTTTTTCCACACCCTCTAGTGGTCGTATGCGTTCTTTTATTTTGTTTTATCAAGATAAATGTGAGCTGTTTTTAAATTAACATGAAAACCATGCGAGGCTAATTTGTAATTAAAAAACAGCTTTTATCTTACAGCCCTTGTTGCAAGCGAAAGGAAATAAATGTATCTAATATTTAATATAAATTTAAGTCTCTTAAGTAGGTTAATCCTCCATAGTATTTTTAAAAACAAAATCACCTTATTTCAACAATCGATTCCAACATTTATTTGTATTATTTTTTCTCGCAGTACTTCTTATATAGAACAGTCCCTGCTCCTTCATGTATTGTGAGCACCGCTTCAGGGACCAACCAGAAAATGTACGTGGAACGGGTGGGTGGCTCTGGGAATTTCGATTGTCGCCTGTTGTTTGCCTTTAACTTGTTACATATTCCGGACGATGTATATCAGCAGTTTAGATTAAGTCTACGTGGCAATTCCGAGCCCTCAATGTAACCGCCCAGCGTGGGTTACATTTTTTAAACTTTCTCCACTTTTGTTGGCTGATAAAATGTATGCAAAATTATGTTAATTTCCCAAGGGTATTCGACTGCAGCGCGTTAAAAGTTTTTCGAATACTTTTTATTGCAATTTAACCCGTTTCCCCCTTCTTTGTTGGGTTACCAGTTCAGTATTTAAATAAGGTATAAAGTATTCTAGACCCTTCAGTTTCCTATATAAATTAAATATAATTCTATTCTCTAAGAAAGAGAAGGTATTTTGTGCTTCCGGTATGCTCTGTTTCCTATCTATTCTAATTTGAACTTGATTTGCAGAAGCCACTGGCACCTTTCGCCTTCTACACAGTAATTATTGTCCATTATGAAGCAGTTTTTTGTGGCCTCCTTTAAGGACAATAAGCCCTAATAATTATACAAGTGTTGGCACAGGGAAGGACGTGGCTTGAGACCTTCGTTTTGTCTTTCAACTGTTGCCTAGCTGCCAAATAAAAAGGAGGCGCCAAGATAAAAGCAGGAGGAGTCTCCGTATAATAACGAGGAACTGGCAGAATAATTTATCTAAGACCGCCGAGCTTGAAGCAATAAGTTAAGCCAGCGCCAAAGCAGCCGACACTTCCTAAATGATTTCATTGTCGAGAAATAGTTTTTTCGTCCAGGGGCGAACAATGGCGGAAAACAGCGAAAATTTATGCCATTGTAGCAGGTTTCCCGGGGTAACGCCACCAAGGAGGAGGAAAGAGAGTTGCGGGACGCAAAGGAAGCTTCAATGTCGGCTTCTATCTCAACTTTCAGGCAAGTGAATTGCTGGCAATTAGCAGCAACAATTTGCTGTTTGGCCTCAAGTTTCGCATTTCCCATTTTCGGTTGGCTCAGAACCCCAGCAGGAGGGGAAATCTTCCCGTCATTCCAAAAAAAAAAAAATATAAAGTTTTCCGCCCAATTTGCGGGGCCTTTGTTTATTCCGTACGTGGATGGAGAACTTTATAATTTATCATCAAAATTTGGCCATCCATGACATAATTAGGGTAACTATAAAAAGTTTTTATTGCCATTATTTCTCCGCCCACTTCCTGTAGTATTTCTGTTGTCCTTTTTTAATGGAAGTTTATGTATACCATCCCGTATCGACTATAAAAATACAAATTAAATTCCTTTTTTAATTGGTTTTCAATTTGAGGAAATTACTTTGTCTAATGGCAATTGGTTATGTTGCTCCAGGCTAGAATGTGAAAGGATAGTGAAATCGATATGCAATTTGGCAAGTAAATACTAATTAACAGAAGGTAAATTTGTAAAGAAAAAGTATGCTTTTTTAATTGTCCGAAGGCTGATTTAGATGCTACTGTACCATGGTATTTAATTACATCGCTAGTTGAACCTATTTTATTCACAAACAATTTTAAGAAAGATTTTAATTGCGTCAATGTTTGTAGTTAGAAAGCAACATATGTTTATCTTTAAAATCAAAAGAGAGTAAATTGAAAAATATGCAACCATCCCTTTTAATTATAAATTATTCATATTTAAAAATCATTTAATAAACGAGAAAGTTTATGAAAACTTTTCTTTTGTTAAACTTTCTGGTCAGTTTGACAACGAACCCATTTCCCCTGCACTTGAAACTTGGCCGAAAAACCTCAGTTGATGGACAACCAACTGGGACGAAAACTTTCAGATTTTGTTCGAAAACTTGAGTGCAGCTTGTTGTAATTTGATTAGGTGCCAGAGCGCAGAGACTGTCCCACAATCTGCTAAATTACAAAACGAAACTACACTTTTTTCGAGCTGGCATGGATAATTATTTTCTAGCCATGACATTTCATAGATTTATATTTAAAAATTGTTTCACAAAGGCCCCTTAAAATATTCTTTAGACACACCAAAAAGACTTTCTAAACCGAATTATTTATGAGCCATCGTCTTACACATTATTGGATCAAATATAAAAAAAAATAAAAAGGACTTACCCGCTGTACAAAGTCGCATATCCTCATCGTATCCGTCGGAGCAATCGGGTGCACCGTCGCATAAATATTGGATGGAAATGCAATTACCATCGCCAGGACATTTGAAGGGCTCGTATGGGTGACAGGCATCTGCAAATCAAAAGGAAAAATTGTAAATATTCCATATCGTTGGATATTACAAAAAATCGTATAAACAATTTAAAGTTAAATTTTAATGGGAATGCAAGCTTGCGAAATATTTGTTGTTTTATTTGTGCTGTTTTGTGTTTACATTCGCAAAGCGGATTTGCTTGCCATTAGTTTGTTTTATTTATTTATGTTAATTGTTTATTTGGTGTCATGATTTTGCCGGCTTATTGAAAGCTCAGCTAGAATTTAATTTATTCTTTAAGGTTGTCAATATAAAATGTATTCTTTAAATAGCTTTTAATTCACAATATTCACGCTGACCTTCAATTCTCATTAATTATTGTACTACAATTTTTTCCATTAGGAGAAATCCCAGCTTATATTAAATTAAAAATTAATTTAGAAAGAAAGCAAAGTAATGAAACAAACAATGGATATAAAATGCATTAAATAATACAAATATCAAAGAATGTTATCTGACAATTAACCAAATTAATTTTCTCTTCCTTGTTTATTGTTTTGTATTTTGTTTTGAAAGCATTTCCACAGCCCATAAAATGGCATTCAGCAAGCTTTCAGTTTTATGGCGGAGTGTGAAAGGAAGAAAAGGATAACAACGTGATGATGTTTTTCCCATCAGAAATGAACATCCTCCCACGCACACAAAAAACAAGGAGGAACAAGAGAAAGTTAATTGAATTTATTGTTTTTGCCTGAGCCATATTTCATACAATTTCCTTTATTTATGACGAAGCCAAATTTGCACCCTTGTTTTTATTTTATGATTATTTTTTTATATGAACATCTTTTTTGTACTGGCGGACGCAAATTGTTTTTGTTAGGCCTCAGTACATGGAGTCGGCAGCTTTTTCGGATAAACATTTTTCATTTTCAAGCCTCGTACTCGCTGAATCGGAATTGTCGGTTAAATCCCCGACGAAAACAAAAACGTTAGCTCTTTGGCTTTCATTTTATGCCTGGCCCAAACAAGTTAAGCATTCAAATATCAAATCTTTTTTTGTTGGGCAGAAAGTTTAATTTAATTTTCCGCCAAAAGAGCAAGTATTTGCAGGAAACTTCTCTCCCGACACTTGACATATTTTTCTATTAAACTTTAGCCGGAGTTTTCATTTCTTTTCCTTTTCCGCCACAATTTGGTGGAGAACTTTTCTAGAGAAAACCAGAAATAATAAAGTCAGAAATTGTATTTGGAAGTCAAAAGTTCTTGGCGAAGAAAAAATTCCACAAAAATTTGAAGCCTCAAACACACTGACTTTAATCTTGTCACCTTGGTCACAGTAAAGGTAAAGGAACTCCGAGGATAACACTCATACGCCGTGTGGCACGCGCCAGACAAGTTAATTTCGGGCGATTCATTATTTTCCGTTGATGTCAAAACAATTGGAATTTATGTGCTCGGCACCACTAATTGACAGGCCGAGGGATCCAATAAGTCTCCCCTCATCCGCGTTCGTCTTGCCCCAAAATCAGTTCGCAGCAAATAATTCAGTTCGAAAAGTGGTGGTGTTTCGGTTTATTGTGCGTGTTGTGTCCAGATTGAAAAGGTCAAAGGAGCCAAAGGGTTTTCTTGGCCTTTGGCCGATTTCTCGTCTTTACTTCGGTATTCCCACCCGTGAAGATACCACCACTGGCCTTTATGTTCGCCCTTAAAGTTTGCTTTTATGTGGCATAAAAGGACAACTTGGTGTTTTGTTGCGGCATTGAGAACGTTTGTTTTCACACTGTTTATTTTGTTGTCGGTTTTAGTTTAGAATCGTCTTTCTGTCCATTTTTTCCGGCAATTGATTACCATTTGAATTCTTTATTATTTTTAATGCTTTTCGGTTTACGATTCTACGTGATTGGTTGAAAGTTAAAGGACTGGCGATGTCTGTTTAAATATTTATTCAATTTGCGAATAAAAAGAGTGAGTCCATTCGAAGTAAAAATCTTTAAAACCATTAAAGCTTTAACAGAACTTTTTATTTATTTATTTGTAATAATGAAGGGGCAAAGTAAACAATATTTAATATGCTTTTTACACGGCGAAAACACAATTTATGATTGATAAATGTTTCTCAGCTAAGTAAGACAAACAAAGTTAATTTCCTGCTTTAATGTGTTTACCTGTAGGACCTCACAGAAAAAATAAAGTACTTTTTAATGCATCTCTCAGAATTTATGCTAAAGTGCTTCCCCCAAAAGGAGGGTACAAAAATGCTTGTTTTTCAAAATAACAACTATGTACCTCGGGTCCTCATTGCCAGAAAAACAAACACATTTTCCATACATTTAAAGCAAAGAGCAGCATAAATACAGACACACCAAGCTCATAAACGACCGCAAAATTGAGTGTGGTTTGCACGGGCAGATATTAATTTTAAAAATCGAGAAGCTGGGGCAAGTGGCTCTGGAAGGAGCGTGCAACGATGGCGAAGCAGTGTCGTGTGTTGCACACATAATGAATGTTGCATAAATGTCATAAATATGGAGCCAGCACGCAGCACTCCCCATGGGTTTTGGCAGCTCAGACTTTTCTCTCCGACCGAATATTTCTTTTATGAAAAAAATAGTAATAAGCGGATACTACTGGCCTGGGCCAAACTGTCCTAAATGAAGCGTAAAGCTTCTGGCCGTATACACACAATGTTGCTTCCGCCGGACAATGTACAAAATGTCAGTAGTCCGGTGTCCAAAATCCAGGAGCCCCTTCAACATTTTGGCTAAGTACTGCACGTGACACCAGGAAATAATATTTTGTGTTTGGCCTTTGTTGCTGTCCCCGTACGGAATAATCTTGGCTCTGAGGAACTTTTTTTTGGCATAAACGGGTATTATAATACAGTCCTAAAAAATACACAGACCTTGAATAATTTCTAATCTTTTTAAGGCTCTTTACTTTGTGATTTTTCAGTAAGGCTCTTAGGCTTTTTTTAGGCCTAGAAAAAAATTGGCTATTGCGAAACTCGATAAAAAACATTTCATGCAGTGTAATTCCCAACCCAAGCCCTTTAGGCTGTTAACAGAATTTTAGTTTTCATGTGTCAATTTGCGAAGCAGTAGCAGCTCGATGTGTTGTCACGCATGGCGTATGCGCAATATTGTACTGGTATTGCTGTCGCCTTGGGTTTGTTGCCTCAGCTGCTGCCGATGCTACTCACATCCAGCCATCCTGTCATACTGCTATCCTGCCAATTGCAGTTCACCTGACCCCCACAATTGCCTGGGCGGGCCCCAGATAAGGGGTGGCTTCTCTTTATAGCCGATGGGCAACATCTCTGCAAACGCACAGGACACACGAGGGTGGGTGGCTTAGCCTAAGTTTCTGCAAGACTTCGATTTACTGACAGCTGCCAGCTCATAAAGGAGCCGAGGACACAACAAGGTACAGTTTTGGCCAAAAGTTAGCTTTAATGGCTGAGGAAACTTCTAAGGGGCTTTTAGTTTTGCGGCTGACTTTAATTGCCGGTGGTTACGAGAAGCCATTATAATGTGTAGGAATTATATTATTTGAGAATCGTATACTTTTGTGAGAGTAATAAATTTCCCTTCTTGCCCAACCATATGAATTCTTCGAGTAAGACATTCATGGATAAGATCTTTCTTGTCCACAACTTACTGCTGTGACCGCAACCACAACCATTCCTAGGGAGCAGCTCCCTCCAGACCATAATTAAGTTTTGCATAAGCAAACCGCAGAATGACTAACCAAAGTTTCCAACTGTGGAACAGCTAGAACCGTTCATACAATGGGTGGACGTGGTAGGGAAACCGAAATGTACAGAAGGAACGGCACGAAATGACGTATACGCAATATCAACTAAATAATTGCACACACCCTTGGTACACTAATGAAAATTACTTTCCTTGGCTGTCAGCCAGTTGTTGGCATATGCGTGTGTTTGGTTGGTCGCTTTGTTGCCTTTTGGCTGAAAGCAGTTTGATTGCAGTGGCAAAAACAATAGCAGCTAGAACTAATTGTTTTGCTTATAAATTAGCACATTTGTATGCAATGCCACGCACACACCAAACAAAACTCTGACGTAATTTATTACAGCCACACTGTATTCCCCCTCGAATCCTTCCTCGGAGGACATGCATCTCCTTGCCACCGGTTCGATTGTCCTGCCACAGTTACGGTTACGGCCAACAGAGTGTGAGATATGGCTCCGGCCCGGAATTATTGTCCGTGAATGTGTTTTGGCACGAAGAGCAGTGACAAATAGTGGAATCGATTGGGCGAAACAGAAACGTGCCGGTCAAAGAAATCGCTCCAAACCGTAAGATCATAAATTGGAAAGTATATGGTGACAAATGATAGTTATATACGGAACAAACTTCATTCGATTACATCAACTAATGCCCTACTAATTAGTTTATCAATTAATCTCATTGAATTCGAACTAGGGGGACAAATGGGTAAAAATGTTGGAAAGAGAGGGTGACTGAAACACCTATTTTTTAAAGAAATTACCTTGCCCATCCAGCCTTGAATGCCGATTCCCAAACTAGTTTCATATTCCAACCATGCCACGTTGACCTCACCTGCTTGTTTGCTTCGAAAATGTCTCCCACTATCGACAACTTAAAAATTAATCAGCAATCACCATTAGTCCGATTAAGATAATTGACCAAGGCAATGCACTTATCTCCAGGATAAACACAAGTTTAATCTCTGAATAAAAATTCGGACACCAAAGGACATTGATTGGCAGGTGGCATAATTAATTGAGACATTACCCAGTCATCAAGTTACAATAATATTGCATTCATGCACTTTAAATGCGTTCAAGTTCACACTTGTCAAAATATATAATAACAAGGACATTTGTGTTGTGTCCTGAGGACGTTGTCTTTCGATGACATTTACAAAAATTAAATATTAACGAAGAACGCAAATGCCACTGAAAGTTTTGAAGGCTACAGGCTAAGTTCAAGGCAGTGGGAGCTCTATAAATAAAAATTTACTAGAAAACAACTAAATAATTTGGATTAAATCA